GGAACAAATAATAAATTATACTGTTCACGCGTGGGTGGGCATGACATGGCTTACCTCAAGTTCTACATAAAACGTGAAACATTGCGTGTTTTGGAAAGCCCGGTATCTCTGTTGATAGAACAAAAGAGAAACAAAAAGAAAATCCGGCAAGCAAATTAAAAATTAAAAAAAAAAAGTATTATACCCTTTGTCCGACAAAACTCGTTGTTATATGGCTACCTCGCATAACATAAAATTATTTAAAATAAACTAATATAAACATTAATAATGTGGAAATCTTGTTTATCAACAAAACCTGCAACATCTTTGTTAGTTTGTCAAGTACGCATTTTGAATACCATTTTGACCTTTTTCCCTCAAACGAAGCAGTTATAGTCTCGTTTCACTGACTGTGGTAATTAGGAAAACCTCGCAGCCTGGACTTTTCATTTCACTGTGTCCGGGACGATATCGGGTCAAACTAACTGTCTCCACTTGCATATCCAGTTCCAACTTCTGAATCTAGCCTTCTGTGGGAAAACTTTGAAACTTAATCAATAGGAAGGAGCCTCCTGCAGCAGCAGCAACTTTGAAGGACGTGTTGTGCTTGCTTTTTCTTGTTCTGTTTCCATAAAAAGTATTAATTCAGCTTTTTATTATAAGTTCTGTTCTTATTCTATTACTGCAGTTTGAACTTTTATTTTTATTTAGGGTTAATACAATTTTTTATCATTCAAGTTTCTTCTTATTTTGATTTTGGATCATGAAGTTTCAAATCATATATTTTGATTCTTTAAATTTCTTTCCGTTTGAAACACTAATCATAATAATTCAATAAAAATTTTGATTATTTTGCCTCAGAGTGACAAAAACTTATGGTTTGAAACTCGAGGGACCAAAACTAAAATAAGAATAAATTTGGAAGACTAAATACTATCTCCGGTCCTTAATATAAAACCCTGTTTGACTTTTATTTTTGTCCTAAATATAAGATCCTAATCCACTTTGTCTCTCATATTTGTATATTTTTTTTCAAAGTAGCTCTTCTAACAATGATAGTTTTAGTCAATACATTTTATTAGTAATGATATTTTAGAAAAGACAATACCTATTTAGGATAAATAACTAACTCAACTTACTTCCTTAATCTCCTCAAATTAGTCAACTGGCTCTTATAATTAGGACCAGAAGTAGTACTCCTCCGGTCCTTATTATAAGACCCAATTTGACTTTTTATTTGGTCCTAATTATAAGACCAAATCCATTTTGTCTCTTATATTTATGCATTTTTTTCCAAGATAATCCTTCTAATAATGATAGTTTTAGCTAATATACTTAATTAGCAAGGATATTTTAGGAATGACAACACTTATTTATTATAAATAACTAACTTAACTTACTTCATTAATCTCCTCAAATAAGTCAATTGGGTCTTATAATTAGGACCGAAGGAGTATTATATTAACCATTTTATTTAAAATCATTGTGCCTTTTGTTCTAAATCTTGTTTTATTTGTTGATTGTTGATAGAGTACCTGACTATCAGATGCAATTCAAAATTCGAAATTATTAGTTACGTGTACAAGAAGGCACGAGGCACCACCATGACGAAGTCGATAAACTCGCGTCGCATTGAGGCGTCGTTTATATCTCGAAGGTAAACGACATGAGATTATTCGAGCTTTCCATTTTGCAAGCATTCCGATTGTTGCTGCGCAAAAATCCTCACGGGGTGTGTGGGTTAACTCCGACATGAGCGCATCCGTATTCTAAAAAAAAAAAAAAAAAACTAACTACACACTGCAGAGTGCATCAATAACGGTTTAATTTACCTAATAATTACTACCTCCGGTCCTAATTATAAGACCCAGTTGACTTATTTGAGGAGATTAAGGAAGTAAGTTAAGTTAGTTATTTGTAATAAATAAGTGTTGTCATTCCTAAAATATCCTTACTAATTAAGTGTATTGGCTAGAACTATCATTGTTAGAAGGATTATCTTGGAAAAAAATGCATAAATATGAGAGACAAAATGGATTGGGGTCTTATAATTAGGACCAAACAAAAAGTCAAACGAGGTCTTATATTAAGGACCGGAAGTAGTATATTATTATTACTTAACATTAAAATATATAATACACTACCTCCCGTCCTAATTATAAAACCCTATTTGTAATCTATGAATAAGATCTTATAATTAGGATTAGAGGTCTTATGATTAAAACTAGATAATATAATAAAATAATAACGCGATGATCATTTCTTTAAAGTAATTTTATATTCGTATTATACCAGGCATTACTTGCATTACTTACTCCCTCGTCGTTTAATATAAAGAGAGGGGACGGAATAGTACCTCGGGAATCTTCTAATAGTGGAATTGGTCAGATTTTCTTTTTAGTTACACGTATTCTCTTGGAGACAATCAAATTTTCTCAAAATATAAGCAATCATTAAAATTAGATTGGTCTCAAAACCAAACTTTTTTTTTTTAACATTTACGGGTCGAATCCAAAAACCAAAAAATGGGCAACCCAACCCCTTTGTTTTGGATTAATTTTGCTGTTGTTGATAGCCGGTCTCTCTTTTTGGTTCCATGAACCATTAATTCTAAAAAGAACCCCTCACCGGCTGCCCGTCACTTGGGTAACGACTAACGAGCACTAATATTTTAATTTGTACGTTATTTAAATTAGATATTATTTTTTAAGGAAAATGAATTTCAAAATTTCCGACTGCTTTTATAAAAGCATTGACTATTCTTATAAAATTTTCGACACGATAGTATCACCTATTTGTTATTTTGAAATTTAAGTGATATTTTTGGGTTATTTCCCTGCCTTTTAATTGTTAATTTTTAAATAAAATTTTATTTAAAAATGACACATTCAGCTTTTAAATTTCAAAATTGTATTTATGAATGATTTTCATATTTTTAATCTGAATAAAATTAAGACCAATTGAAAAACGTGGTCCAATTAGCACTTGGACACATGATCAGCCCAAAAAACACTGTACTGGAAATATGCAAATAGTCATGCAGGTTTCACCGCATATGTATATTATACGCAGTCTAATAAACGGGTTATTTGTTTATCAATGTATTTTATTGTGTACTAGTATATTGATGTGTTAATAAATAACCGCTTCAGGTCAAAATTATACTCCTCCGGTCCTAATTATAAGACCCAATTGACTTATTTGAGGAGATTAAGGAAGTAAGTTAAGTTGGTTATTTATAATAAATAAGTGTTGTCATTCCTAAAATATCCTTACTAATTAAGTATATTGGCTAAAACTATCATTATTAGAAGGATTATCTTGAAAAAAAAATACATAAATATAAGAGACAAAATGGATTGGGTCTTATAATTAGGACCAAATAAAAAGTCAAATTGGGTCTTATAATAAGGACCGGAAGAGTACATAAGTTTTTTTTTTTAATGCCATGACGTATACTGACTAATGAGAGACGACAATGAGTTCTTATCGTAATGGTTTTATAAAGGCGGTGGACATCTTGTATGTTTCACTCCGCTTCAGATTTGGGGTCATGATTCGGCTAAGGATTATTATTCAGCTCAACGTAAGAACTCCCCCCATGCCTGGGACTCTGGTCACAGATGTGTTATTGTAGAGTCTGATTGTTTGGAGGTGGTGGAAATACTGAATAATCGAACTGAGGTGGAAGGCCAACATGAAGACCTGTTCAGGGAATTCAGAAACGTCTTGGATCGAGAATGGCAAGTTCGTATTAGATGGTGCAGAAGAGAGGCAAATGCTGCTGCAGATTTGTTAGCAAAAGAGGGTCTAAGCATAGCTCCCCGAGATCACCATTTCTCTACTGTTCCACCGTTTATCTCAGATTGCGTCTCTACTGATGCTCTGCGCTGTCCTAGTTACTGCCTAGTGCGCCTGACTGTTTTCTTTTGCTTACAAAAACAAAAAAACAAAAAAAAACAAAAACAACGTTAAATAGTGTGATAAATCACGAGTCAACTTTTGACGCGTTTCTCAGCGCAGTACTTATATGTCAGCTTTCGAGTTTTAGTGCAAGACACGTTGGGCTACTGGGGCATTAGTTACTTCGAGGCTCGCCCAACAAAATGCTCACTTCTCATGTAACATCAAATCAAATTTAATTAAGCTGTAGCGGCGTTCGTGATTTATAAATCTTTTTTTCGTTACTGATATTTTTGAGACAATTCTAATCAAAATACTGCCAAGTTGATTTGCTCAAACTTTAGTCCATATGTGATGAAAAATTAGCCTCTTGTGATGTTTGTGATTTATAAATACATACTTTTCTGGTCCTTAATATAAGACTTAATAGTTAAATTGATTTTGATCCTAAATATAAGATATTTCTCATATTTATCAATTTTTTTAAAATTATTCCTATGGATATTTCATCAACCATAATCAAGTAGAAGAGGGAAGGAGGATATTAAGAAAAAATATTATGGTATTTTAGAAAAAATATCATATTTATTATAATTAACTTACTTATCTAACTTTTTTAATCTAATCAAATTAGTTAAATAGATCTTATATTAAAGATTGGAGGAGTATATTATTAAAATCATGACAAAGTCATTCGATTGGCGAAGTGAATGCTGGTGGAGCTCTTTCTCGGCCCATGATTTGAACGTGAATTCATTACACAATATTTTAGAACGTACGAGTTGGGTCGTTCATCACTGTCTTTTTCTTGCTGGCAGGATGATAAGAGAGATTTTGTATTTTAAAGGACACTTCACGAACCATGAAGACCAAGGAGTATGAACAGCACACTTTCAGCATATCACGTCTTTAATAATACTGATAGCGATGTTCATTTTTCCTCCTTTGTTCTTACTTTAGGTGTGATTTCATGACAACCAAAAATAAAGCGAAAGGCGTACTGGCCCATCCCCCCACCCCTCTCTTTAATTTAAAGCGCACTTCTCATTACTTAATAACCAAGAAAATAAGATCTCACCACCTTCCAGAGAGAAGGCGCCAACACAAAAAGGCGTACGTTTTCCTGAACTATTCAATGATCTTCATTATTCATCACCCACCCCTTAATACACTATAATCTGTCAAATCCAACTTACAAAACATGACAGTTCACTTTCTTTTTACAAGTGGCTCGAAGAAGATCTGCCAATTGGAAACTGTAAGATTTTGTGTTTTGATCTAGAATTACACAAAAAGGCTCTAAAGTATACTCATATGATATGTTGAGAAGTAGAATATGCACAGTGAAACTCAGCGTCAGTACTTGGTGCTTCTTTTCTTGAACACTGACTTGACAAATAACAAACAGGCAATTAAGAAGCCCACAGCTGCAAAACCTCCCACTGCGAGAGCCACTGTCTTCTGTGTGTGTTGTTGTCCCGTCCCTGATCCTATCAAACACAAGAATATAAGCATCACCCGCAATTGGGAGTAATATCAACCCAATAGATTCAGACTCTCCTCATTTTCCCAGTATTTAAATTATTGAGACAAATGCGAGTTAACATATGCGTCAGTATAATAACAGTTAATATTCATATTTTGATTTACCAGACGAATAAGATGATCTGCTTGGGACTCCATTGGGGTAAAAGCTGTAACTGATAAAGCATCTGTGCAGATAAATTTGGGCAGAAATGGAGTTGCCACACTGAACCCTGGCTTGATCCTCTGCACTTTTCACACAATCTCCACAATCGGAACTAGCTAAATCGCCCTCACACTGCCCCAATACATACAAGGACTGGTAGCTTCCTGTGTAAAACAGGTTCGAACCACTTTTCACTCCACTTTCCACCATACCAAACGCTGCTTCCCTCCTCTGCTCTAACCCATCTCCCTTCGCCTTCTTTCCACAAACCTTGTAAAGCAATTGAGTCTCAGGGATTTGTTTGAAGCCAACAATCTCGTACCTCATACTACACCCAACAAGCTGGATCCTAGCTGCTGCCACTTTCCCACATAGCTTGTCGAGCAAGTCTGGAATCTTGCTGACACAGTTGTAGCAATCGGAGTTTGTGAGATCTCCTCTGCATTGGTACAGACCCATGATTGCGTTCTGGTTATCACCGGATGTTGTAGAGGAGAAAGGCTTTTGCCCAGATTGGCCTACCAGGGAAGTCATGAGAGCTTGGAGGTTCTGCGAGTAAATCCCCGATGGGTCTTGAAGTTTTTGTTCTGCACATCCCTTGTACACCAAGTTTGTGTTATCTGCAGCCGAAGTGAGATAAAGAAGGAGGAGCAAGAAAACACTGATGAGAAGAGGAGAGGGGAGAGGACAACATATTCTGATCATACCCATTTGGGAATTTGAGGGGAAAAACGAAAAAGTTGTGTTAGTCCATGGGTTTTGGGAGAGGCTCGATTGTTTGGGAGCTTCTCAGGCTCTGTTACTGGCCATTTTGGGGGGCGTCACTGGAGTTTTTTTGGGCCTTTTGATAGTGTTTTACCTTCCCCCAATTCGGATGTGCAAGTGGTTGCTTTATATACTTCTAGGCCGCACAATAATTCATTTTTCCAGAGTTTTTAATTTAATGCGTAAGGCAATAATGAATGTCAACATATGCTAAATGAAAATATAACGGAATCAGTTTCGGTGCTCATCCATTTGATGAGCACCATAAGCTAATCAGATTTGAACGTCCATATCTTATTTGGGTAGTTTAGATTTTTTTTTTTTATTTATTCAAAATAATTATTTTAATATATATAAAATCTAAAACAGTAATGATCTCTTAACTATCATTCTTTCAAAAAATAGTTTTTTCTATTTAAAAAAATTAATTAAAGATTTTAAATCCGGACCATTCAAATGAGATATAGACTGTTCAGATTTGATGAGCTTATAGTACTCATCAAAGAGATGAGTACTGAAACTGGTTCCAAATATAATGGACTTTTGTTCTGGTATTAAAATAAATGAATCAATATATATTTTTGTGTGCGCGCGACTCCCCCCTCCTTTTCCGTTTCCTCCTCAGAGGGTATTCTCTTTTTTTTTTTTGTTATACTTTGATTTGATAAACAGTACCCACCACCAAGAGGGGGAGTGTAAGAGCGGAGGCTAGCTCGCAACGTCGCGTGGAAAAAAGCCGTCAAACTTTCAACATGCAGCTACAACTTAACTTGCTTGTTGTTTTAGGGTCCGTTTGGGCCCCAAACGTGCGTCCCAATCTGACTTTTGGGGTGGCTGTGATTTTGAGTGTTTGGATCTGCGATTACCTTATTTGACTTGTGAGGCTTAAATGGGCTTCTGAGAGAAGTTCATACAAGGAGCTTTTTTTTGGATGAGCAGCTGAGGTTGAGAAACTGTTGGAGTGTATTAATTTTTTTACCTAACTGACCCTCTGCATGTTTTCTCTCTCACTTCACTTCAGCTCAAAGACAAAAAAAAAAAAAGACGCACGCACGCACTCAGAAGGCACAAGACGCTCTGAAGCTAAAAACTCCTCCCGACGTCTGCTGCCATATCCCCGTCGTGTGCCCGCCGTCTCAACAGTTCGGGTTCTTGTGTGGTCGGTTGTTCATTCTTCCAACGTCTCATCAGTTCTTTCCTCTGTTCGTTCAGTTCTTCCAGCGTCGCCGTCTGTTGTCGTCGCCGTCTCCCGCCGCACGTGCTTCAACTACACGAGAAACAGGGAAATCAACCGTTTAGACTTCTCACATCGCAGCAAAATCATGCAAGCCGTAAAAACAGTCCCCACAACCAACAATCCATCGTCCCATGAAGCTCATTCATGTCGTCCTCCTTACCTTTCCCCACTCTCTGACTCTAAAAGTATCAGATTTTCTTCGGTTCAATCCTAACCCAAATAGCACCCAGCGAAGAAAACAAAGATGCATGGAGGAAGACTTGAGGGACTCACCTTGGTCGGAAATCACAACTGCATGCAACATTATCCTCTTTCGATCACTCCTCCGACGTCAAATCCTCTGATTCTTAGTGCTCTCTCGTTGCAGGTGAGAAATGAAAGGAAGAGTGATCTAATGCTTGAAAGAATGGAAGTGGCGCGTGCGGCGTCCGGTGAGGTGGCAAAATGACCAGCCTGCCCTTTTATTCTTATCTTGCTTTCTACTCATCCCTTTATCTATTTTTTGAAATTTTAAAATGAATTAAAAATAAATTCTTAATGTTTTATATGGATTTTCTTTCTCCATTAATTTTTTTGGCCCATAAAATAACTCCCGTAAAATTTTTGACTCAAAAATTAACCTGTAACTTTATCTATTTTTTTTAAAAAATTAACCTAATTTTTATTTTTAGAAATGTGCTATTTAATAGAATTAGATATGTGCTATTTAATAGAATTCATACCCTTTTAAATCATTTTACATTCAAACTTACTTTTACATTTATCATCCAAACAAGTTTCAGCTTCTCAAACTGACTTTTTTTTAAAACCCAATCTAAACATAAATCACATTACCCTATCTGACTTTTACTCAATTTGACTTTTGGAAAAGTCAGATTGAAAAAAAAGCTACTTTCTCCACCGCTAATCCAAACACATCCTTACTATTATTATGCTAACCAGTGTCTGCTTTCTGTTCCTCGCCCCTTTTTCCCTGGAAAAAAGCCTTTAAAAAAATAGTTGCACTGACTGAATTTCCAACGTGGCTGACAACAGACAATTCAATACAAGCCTTATAAGCCGTTTCTAATTTAAAATATTTTACTAAAAAAAAGAAGCCCTAATATCGTTTGAAGAGGGGAGGAAAAAGAAAACACCGCAGGAGTCGAGTAATTTCAGGGTGCCGCACAGCACAGCACCCCAACTCGCCGAGTGGAAAGACAAGTAGAAGTTCAAATTGCAAGCTTGACCTCGAGCGGCGCCGACTGATAGAAAGGGACTGTACACTAATTATGAAAAACAAAGGGAATATACATTATTACATTATACACTATCCGAGTTTAGCTCAATTTAGAGATAAAATTTCCCTTTACCGGCAATTTATAAACTAATACTACCTCTGGTACTTAATATAATACTACCTCTGATCCTAATTATAAGAGCCAGTTGACTAATTTGAAGAGATTAATGAAGTAAGTTGAGTTAGTTATTTGTTCTAAACAGGTGTTGTCTTTCCTAAAATATCCTTGCTAATCAAGTGTATTGATTAGAGCTATCATTGTTAGAATGACTACTTTAGAAAAAAATGTATAAATATGAGAGACAAAGTGGATTGGGGTCTTATATTTAGGACCAAAATAAAAGTCAAACAATGTCTTATATTAAGGACCAGAGGCAGTACCTCGTTTGACTTTTATTTTGGTCCTAATTATAAGACCCCAATCCACTTTGTCTCTCATATTTATGTATTTTTCTCAAGGTAGTCCCTCTAATAATAGCAATTCTAGCCAATAAACTTGATTAGTGATGATAGTTTAGAAAAGACAATATATATTTATTACAATAACTAACTTAAATTTTTTCCTTGATTTCCTCAAATTAGTTAACTAGCTCTTATAATTAGGACCGAAGGCAGTAATAATAATACTATATCTGATCCTTAATATAAGAATTAGTAAACTAATTTGAGTAGATTAAAAAAACTAATTAAGTTAGTTATTTGTAATAAGCATATGTTATTTTTTCTAAAATATTTTTTTAATTAAGTGGGCTATAACTATTATTATTATAAAAACTACCTTAAAAAAATGAATAAATATGATAAACAAAATAGATTAGAATTTTATATTTATAACAAAAATAAAAATCAAATAAACTGTTATAAGTTAATAATAACAAACATTAGTAACAAACATTTAGATGAGGCCTCGCACATTCAAACTGTACAACTTTTGTAAATTTAACATTTGACATTAATATGATTAAGATACGACAATTATAAAACAGTATTCCATTCGGTCTTAATTAATGTCTTATAATTAGAACTGGAACTAATAGTAAATATAGAAATATTGTCGTGTTAATACTACAATATTCCTCTATTTACCATGGTTTTCCGTTCGAATGCTCCGTTCTCCTCCTTTCGTCAGGTGACTAATGGATAAACGTTGGGAGAACAGAACGCTAACTGATAAAGGGATAATAAGAAAAAACTGGGTCAGAATGAAAAACTACATTGAGAACAAAATGGGCTTACACGGAGAAACCCAATGAGCCCATTACAGTGTACATGGGCCCAACGCGGATCAGAGTGTTAATGATTCACGGGCCCATTAACTTGCCCTTAAACCCTAGTATATGAACAACAAAAGAGCCGCGATTCTCTTGGCAGCGAGGAAAGCGGGAAGAGACCAGTGATCGAAGATGTCGAAGAGAGGTATGGCAGTTTGTGACGAGCTGGCTTGCCTCGAATTCATGGATTGCTTGTTTCTTTTTCTACTAATTGTTGGGTTAATTTGATCAGGTCGCGGTGGTTCGGCCGGAAACAAGTTCCGGATGTCACTGGGTCTACCGGTGGCGGCGACAGTGAACTGCGCCGATAATACTGGGGCTAAGAATCTGTACATCATTTCGGTGAAGGGGATCAAGGGTCGCCTTAACCGTTTGCCGTCTGCTTGCGTCGGGGACATGGTCATGGCGACCGTGAAGAAAGGGAAGCCCGATCTCCGGAAGAAGGTCTTGCCCGCCGTGATCGTACGCCAGCGCAAGCCGTGGCGCAGAAAGGATGGTGTTTACATGTACTTTGAAGGTTATTCCCTCACTCTTGATCATGAAATGCAATTACGTATCTGTTTGTTTCGTTTGGTTGAATATTGTTCTTTACCCTCTTTATTTCTTCATTCTTTATCATTTATTTTAGTCTTTGTTTATTGAATTACGATTGAGCTGTTGTGTTCTTGTCGAACATTTGGTCAGTTTAGCTGCTTTTTCCTGTTAATCAATGCATATGAATTATCGCATATTTTACTTCATAACTTCAGATTGGGGACTGCACTTCTAGATCATTGATTTCTGGAATTTCTAAACCCTGCCTGGACGTTATGTTTTATGACGCTGGCTTACACCGGCTAATCATCGTATCATGGTAGCTTCTGTTTTATTTTATTTTTTTCACTTTTGATGTAATTTAGCTTTTAAGTACTGCAAGGCCAGATATTTAGCTTCCCTTGATGCATGAGTATGAGTCAAACCCATGTCTTGTTATATCGTGTACTCTGATTAGCTTCCCTGGCCCGTACCTCCATCTTGTTGACTGTTGACAGCTGTTACTCCCTGTCATTGAATGATTACTCTATCTTTTGGCTAGGATTCTTTTACAGGATGTTAATCCCTTCTTGTTCCAAGTCTAAATACTTATATAACTTGGACAATGACCGGCTGATTTTCCATTAATTGTATGACTGTTTTTATTAAAGTTCTGCTGTTGCAACAGAATCTCATTAGTCATTTCGTCTGTTATATCATTGCATTCTTATAATCAAGTGAATGATGACTGAATGAACATATGATAATATGTGC